TGTCAATGTAGTCAATGTAAAAGTAAAAAAATAAAAAAATACTTTTTATATTATTTGTTTATTTTTATTAATTATTTTATTTATTTTATAAGTATTATATAATTATTTGTACCAATTACAGTTATATTATTATTATTCAAAGCACCAGAATATTATTAGTGTATATCATTTTTAAATGTGAATGAATATGTTGTGATACCCAGAGGCGGACAGTAACTAAGTACATTTACTTGAGTATTGTACTTAAGTACTGGAAACTTATGACTTTAACTTCACTACATTTGAAAGACAAATATTGTACTTTTCACTACATTACATTTCTGTCAAGGTCCTCGAAGTAGAAAGTCGTTACTATGTGGCAGCTTTGAAAGTCAGTGGGTGACTGTTTTCTTCTCTAAAACGTGACTTTCTTTCTTTCAGACAGTTTATCAGTAATCACTCTTGTAGGGCTACATTAAATTATTTCCCAGCATTTTTTGAGCACTGACCAGTTCCAAATGTGATATTTGGTACACACACACACACACACACAGAAACACACACAGAGAAACACACACACAAACAAACACACACACACACAGAAACAAACACACACACACAAACAAACACACACACACACAGAAACAAACACACACACACACACACACACAGAAACACAGAAACACACACAGAGAAACACACACACAAACAAACACACACACACACAGAAACAAACACACACACACACAGCACTAATATTTACATATTTAGGAAGGTATTTTTGATATGATACAGGTCAAAAAATGAATAAATGAGAGAAAAAAAACATCGACTGAGAATAAACTGAGTAGGCCTATGTATCACTAGGAAAACACTGCTTCATATTTACATAATGTACATAAAAATTGAGTATTTACATTCGTGCTGCTCAAATTTAACACTCATTATTATTGTGTTTAAACAAACATTTACAGTTTCATGCAAGTGTCTACTTTAACAAGAAACTGTGTACAAACTGCAAAATCAAATCGTATACAGTACATCTAGCAAGCTATAATCACCATTGGTAGCGAGATTTATGGTAATGCTTTTTTCCTCAGTTGGTCAGAACAAACGTAGCAGACTTGTTACTTACTTGTTCAGATGGCAATATACGGTGAAAATTCTTATTTGGGTCATATTCCAAGATGTAGCTAGAATCTGTGATTGCGAAGTACAGTAAA